CCAAAGATTAAAACTAGACCCTTATCTTTCACCATGCAATAAACTAAAATCCAAAACACAAGAGGATATTTTCACACTACTGGAGGGAAAAATGCCAACCAAATATATCGCATACCTGCAAAAGGTGTCTCTCAGAAATTAAGCATACAAAAAGCTTTGCCCGGATACAAAATGATGAGGGAGTCCATCTCCACTAGGACTTACAGAGATGCTAAATCAAACTAAAGGAAAAGGGTCCTAAATAGTATCATAAGTACATATGAAATAACGAGATAACTGGTGAAATTAACCCTATGGCCAAATTCAGAACTCTCAAATATTGTTCTAGTCATGTATAAGTAATTTCTATGTTCAGTATGTAGAAGCAAGCAAAAATCTTACTTTTTTTCCTGCTACTGGGGATCAAACTCAGTACCTTGTGCATGTGAGGCAGGCACAGAAGCAAAAATGTTAATGCAGCTACAACAATTTGTTCAAGGGTAAACTCTATTACATATCATAAATTTGGACATCAGCAACAGAAAGTGTTATCAGTTTAAAATAACCTGTTATACAATTAAGATAGTTCATGTAAGCTTCATGGTAGCTATAAATCGAAATCCTATAGTACATGAACAAAAGATAAAAAAATTTAAATCTCAGAGAATCATATTCTCAAAATGGTAGCAAACATGATGGGCTCCATTCTTCCCTAGAGACAACCAAGTATAATTGCTTAGCATTAAAATTACCACCAGGAAAATCCTAGAAGTCAAAATGGAGACAACGATGATTTCCAGAGCTTCAAGGCAGGAAAGTCCTGTGAGGCGCAGGTTCAAAAAATTAATCTGTCCACTCACACTCTACCTCCCCCAAGTCCCAAGCTTCCATGTAGGAACACCCCTCGCAATTAATAGTTCCTAAATGCGAAATGGTGAAATCAAGGTACATGGCAGCATTCCCCACCATCCTGAGTCCCTAAAAATATTTCGGCCTCTGCCAACAGAAGCATAACCAGTGTCTCTAGGTCTCGAACTGCTCAGGTCAGCTAGAGACAAAGAGTGATGGTGATGCTAACAACAGCAGGTATACACAACTCTGCTACAAAAGCTACACAGCAGCGACATGCCACAGGAGGCACACTCTACAGGGTGTGGGCATATGTACTGAACTGGCCTTCCCAAGCAGTCTACGTACTCCTTTTTCACTCCCTGCCTAGACACATCAAGCTTGTACTGAAGGCCAAACTTAGAAGTATTAAAAGACCTATGCCAAACCTGGCCTTAGGGCACTTTCTCCTGTTGCAAAGGAAGCAAATGAACTCAAACTAAGAGAACTGAACTGTTAAACTACACAGGACCTTTAGACATACCACAGAAAAACCAGCATAGACTAAGCTTCACAACACAGACTGGAATAAATACCTACTCTTCAATGTAAATGATTGATGTGCATTCATAAAAATCAAGGCGAAACAGGGAACCACAACATCAACAAATGGACAAAACAAATGATCATATGGGCACTCTCATACCAGGTATTGAAAGTGGCAGTGGCAGTTTGAGGAAGACTATAGGTAATTCAGCTGTACTGTGTATGGCATCTGTGATAAATGAGATTTTAGCTACTCTTGACACAGAAGGAAAAGAATTATCTAACTATGTGAGATGGTGAATATGTAAATTTCTTCCTTATAGTAGCACTTTATAGCCTATGGATATGTCATCCTATCATATGGTATAAGTTAAATATACACAATAAAGTTAGCCCTATTGATTATGACAACATTGATGAAACTAAATTTCATTGGAAAAACACCAGGCATAACAAGATATGCAGTGCATGATCTCACTTCCATGTGGAATCTATAGAAGACAAGGAGTAGAGTGGTGGCTGCTGAAGAAGGTGAAATGGCAAGATTTTGGTCCAGTGGAATATATCTGACTTAAAAGGGAAGAACATATTCAAGAAATCTATCATTCATCATGGTGACATAGTTAATGACAATGTATTTCATACCTGAAAATCACCAGCTGAATGGATTTTAAGCAAGCAAAGGGATGTTAAGTGCACAAAAAATGATATATGAGATAATGCATATATTACTTAGCTCAATTTAGCCAATACACAATATCCATACATTTGAAAACAACCATATTCTGTGCTATGAAAACAATTTCAATCACCCAATTGAGAGGCAAAAAAAAAAAAAAAAAAAAAAAAAAAGCTTTAATTATCTTTTTTTTTTTTTTTTTAATTGAGTTTATTGGTACATTTAGGGATACAGTACAGTTACATTCACTGTTGGGATCATGTACCTTTACATGGCAAGTCTTGATTCTCATTTTTTCCCCTTACCTCTGCCCTCCCTTCACCCCCTCCTCCCCTCCCCATCTACAAACAGCTTTAATTATCTTAAGTGAGCTGGGCATGGTGGCGCATGTCTGTAATCCCAGCACTTGGAAGCCTGAGGCAAGAGAATCTGTGTGAGTTTGAGACCAGCCTGGGCTACATACTGAGTTCCAGGTCAGTCTCAACTACATAATAAGACACTGTCTCAAAAAGCAAAAAAAAAAAAAAAAAAAAAAAAAAAAAAAAAAAAAAAAAAAAAAAAAAAATACAAAGCAAAACAAAAAACACCACAATAAATGATCACAAATGAAGATTATATTAAAAGAAGCACTAAGGCAAATAATGATAACAATAATGTGTTGATAGGAAAGAGAACGTGTAAAAGAGTTAAATGTTTACAACACCAAGGAAATGGTCTGGCTTCTCATCATATGGAGTAAGAGCAAGCTAACTCGAGCTGATGCGTTAAATAACAATTTCAGAGCTCTGAAAAATAAAGTATGAGAGGAACATTAAAGAAAAAGACCAGCATTTAAAGTATTCCAGAACCATTGGAATACACTTATTTTCTGCCAGACTTCCTGCCTTTTGGCCCTGGACACTGCGGCAGTTTGGGAAAAATAACAGAATGGATAAAGCACATGACCTTGAATCAAAAGAAAGCTGGAGAGGCTATGTGAATATCAGACAAAAGGGATTTCAGAACAGTGAATATTACTAAGGATATTCAAGTACATATCAAAATGGTGAAGGGGTAAATTGTTCAGGAGATATCAAAGGCCTAAGCTGTTACAACCCTAACAACAGTGATTGAAAGGGACAAAGTGGAAACAAGAGACAAAATCTGATAGCACTGTATATTTGTTAGCTAAGACTACCATAACAAATTAATGCAGGCCGAAGGGCTTAAACAACACATACATAGTTTTGCACATTTATGGAATGGAACAGTTTCAGATCAAGGTGTCAGCAGGGTTGGTGTCTTCTCAGGGTCACGAGGAGAAGGTATGTTCCAGGACTCTGTGCTTGGCTTTCAGACAGCCATCTTCTTTCAGTGTCTGTTTGCATGTTTCTGCCTGTAATGATTCCTTTAGAATCCTCCAGAATTCAATACAACATGTTTAAACACAAGTATGTCCATACTTCTCTGAGTAATACTGTTCATGTTCCCAGGTAGAAGATGTGATTCAAAAAAGAAAGCGTGAGAGATTGGTGGAACAGTGATGTTCTTATAGCAGTGGAGTGCATTTTCATGCAGATTTTGGTTGAAATGATTTTTGAAAAGTTAAGGAGATGGCTTCAGAGGTATGTTAGTGATGGGCCTTGCTTCTTGACAGGGTCACACAGAATCTAAAATCAGATGCTTTGCTTCAAAGTGAACTACTTTCAGGTATAATTAGGATGCCACATACAGTAATTTTGTTGGTTTGGCTTTTTTGAGACAGGGTCTCACTATGTAGGTCAGGCAGGCTGGCCTCAAACGCACAGTGATCCTCCTGCTTCAGCTTCCCAGGCGCTAGAATTGCAGATGTGTGGCAACACATTTTCAGTGTTTGCTTTATGGGTGTTTATTTGCAAACACCATCTCACTTGGAACATTTGAGTCTACTCTCCATCTCTCCAGAAAGGTCCCTCAGGCCCCATTTCATTACAACCTCATCAAGAACACACTGATTACATCAACTGTAACAGACGAGTTTGGTATGTTCTAGGACTCTACCCGATTTAAATTGTGTATTCAGTGCTCCATTGGCTCTGGTTTCTTTCTCTCATCATATCATATGTGAGATTAAGCCATGCTCTGGCACCTATCAGAAGTATGTCACATTATTACTGAAGATCATCTCAACGAATCAATGCATCATTTTTTTGGGTAACCGTTCACTTGCTTTGTTTCCAGTTTGTGGAATAAATTTAAGAATAGTGCCCTTATGAGCACAGACAAGACAAGACATTTAACCCCGATGACTGAAATCACTGAATCACAGCATTGACAAGGTTGAACTTGATGTTGAACTTTGTTTCATGTTCTAATTTTTCTTTTTCATGACAACTGCTTCCTCTCACATTCTCTCAGCGACCACCCAAACTCCATTCGAATATTGTAAACTTCAAAAATTCCTGGAAAAATGAACATCTTCTTACTCTAATTTTGAGATTCCACCTTTATTACATGTTAAATCTTTATTTCATGAGTTTGTGAAAAATTGTATCGGTCATAAAATTGTGTAAAACCAACTTATTCTTCCCCTACTACGCTTCTCTGTTGTTTACAAGTCCATTTTTAATTACATGGTAATCACCTGCCTCACCCTAGGTTTGAGGGAAAAGTCATAACTTTCCCCAGACTGCATCAATTCGACTTATTCTTCCCCGTGTAGAACTTCTATTTAGGTATGGAGACATTGCAGCCCAGGTACACACTACTTTTCCAAGGAGCTCCCTTCTTCTCCTTTGCCCAGGGGCCCCACCTTATGGTCTCCAGCGCACTGACACACAGAAGCCCTTGAGGAGCACACCATTGTTATGTAATAGACTACCCTGCCCCTGGCTTAGCCACGCCTAAGGCCTCACTCTGCTCTCCCCAAAACAGCAAGTAGGCATCTGAGGAACAGTCTTGCCTGCCTCCCGCTTGACTGCGCTGGCTTAGGTCCAAGGCTCCCTTACTCATGGGACCTTCCTGGACCCAGAATTCCCTCACAGGTGCTCTCTGCCTGCCTGTGTTCTGGGCAGTCCTGTCACCTGCCTGTTGCTCCCATGACCCACCGGTATGGCGCTTCGCTTCCTCAGAAGTTGTGATCCCCAGGAAGGTGCCCCACAGAATGGACGGAAGCCAGACGCCAGACCAGCTCTCCTACAGCATGCGCTTCCGCGGCCAAAGACACGTGATCCACATGAAGCTCAAGAGGAACTTTCTGCCCAGACACTTTCCTGTGATTACCAACAATGACCAGGGTGCCATGCAGGACGACTACCCGTTTGTCCCTCGAGACTGTTACTATTACAGTTACCTGGAGGGGGTTCCTGGTTCCACAGCCACGCTGGACACCTGCTCTGGAGGTCTGAGGGGCATGCTGAAGGTGGATGACTTTACTTATGAAATCAAACCACTGGAGGCTTCTTCCAAATTTGAGCATGTGGTTTCGCAGCTTGTGTCGCAATACGTATCAGAGGAAAAAGAAAAGTGTAACATTGCAGAGGAAGATGCAGATCAAGTGCGCGAAGAGGTACAACTTGATGAAAGTCCCAGAGCAATCGCTGCCTATCTGTGGCGGGTACATATGAAACAGGCAAATATTCACTACACAGTAAGTAACTCACTCTGGATGCAGGAGAGAAATCACAGTCGTATTGTAGAGAATATAGTGATTATAAACAGCATAATACATAGCATTTACAGGCCAATGGGATTAAATATCTATATACGAGTTTTGTGCATATGGCAAGGGATGGATCATGTGAACCTAGACAGCGAGGGAGCTTCCCACGTGATATCATACTTTGGTTTATGGAAACTATATGGATGGTATGAGCATATTCCTCATTCGACTTCTATGCTTCTTACCGGACATCGATTACAAAATTCAAATTATTATTCTAATCATAATGGCATATGCAACCCCAATTGGGGAGCAATGTATGCATATATAGCGAGGTATCACCGATTTCTAGGTGCCGTACTTTTGGCACATGCACTAGGTCATAACATTGGAATGCCACATGACTATGAAGGTTGTGTCTGTTTTCGAAGAACCAGTTGTCTTATGGCTCCTGTGCCTGCTCTTTTCGATACAGCAAGTAATTGTTCTTTTGAAGCGGTACACAAAAGGATTCATGGCTGGGATGCTTGCTTGAGTTTGAGACTAAAGCCATACCATAATTTTCCTTATGTAGCTCCTCGTTGTGGAGACAAGATAGTAAATAACAAAGAGGAATGTGACTGTGGCTCCCTTAAAGAATGCACCACAACTAGGTGTTGTGCAACCAACTGTGTCTTGACTGTGGGCAGTGTGTGTGACGTGGGGGGATGCTGTGCTCACTGTAAATATGCTCCTCCTGGAACTATCTGCAGAGACATGCTTGGTATTTGTGATCTGCCAGAATACTGTAGTGGGACAGGGGAGAAATGTCCCGACAACTTTTACATCCAAGATGGAACCCCATGTTCACCAGTAGCTGTTTGTGTGAGAGGAAACTGCAGTGACCGAGATTTGCAATGTCAAGCTCTGTTTGGATACAAAGTAAAAGATGCTTCATCACTATGCTATGAGAAATTGAACGTCAAAGGTGACCGATTTGGAAACTGTGGACTTAAGTTACAGAGACAGGGAAGTATACCTGTACAATGTGAAGCTGATGATGTTCTCTGTGGAATACTGCACTGTAGTAGCCCTGAAAAAGTTCCAGGGGGAGGTGAGCACACATCATTTCATGACATAATAGTAAAAGAAGCTAAAGAGGAGCATTGCTTTGGTTATGATGTACACCACGGGACAGAGGTACCACAAATGGCGCTTGTAGTAGATGGTGCAACCTGCGGCCCAGGAAGATACTGTCTTCGTCAGAATTGTACTTTTCATCAAGACATGCATTTTGACTGTGATGTGAAGACATGCAACTACAGAGGGGTGTGTAATAATGCAAAGCATTGCCACTGTCTGCGTGGCTTTAAACCACCAACCTGTACAGATAGAGGAATAGGGGGCAGCGAGGATAGTGGGCCTCCACCTGACAGAGAAGAAGGTATTCGAGCCCATATACTTCTCAATATGAACATGCAATTACTTCTAATTCTAATTCGACTTGGTCTGCTGCTGGCTGCAATTCTTGCTGGAGGGTTTACAAAAGCCAAAAGAGCTATAGAAAAGAAAGTGTATCAAGATGAATTTGAAAGTAACACTGAGTAATATAACCCGGCATTTACTGGACAAAAAAAATCAATGACCCCTCTGCGAATTATGTAAGCTTTTAGTGATTCTGCTGTCATCTTGAAATAAAATTGCAAGGGAATGAAAATGTGTCTGTGATTAAAATTATTTTTTTATACTGAAGCTCAGGATCATACATGGTTGCTTATATAGGCCAAGCAGGTATTCTGCCAAGTTATCTTCAAAACAGTGAAATGACTGTTGTAATTTGAGGCAGAAAATGATCTGCTTGTTTGGTATTTATGAATAAAATGTAATAGGTCAGGTCATGGGCAACAAAGCAAAACTGGCAGCAGTGTCAGCATTAAGTCAGTACAGGAGTTCCCTCAAAAGTGTCATTCAATTGTTGCCAGGGGATTGAGACAGACTCAGCACACACTCTACACGATTGCATTTCATCAATCATCAGTGACGCAGGAACCTTCCAAGTGAGGCTTTACAGATGTTGGAGGTAAAATGTTTAGGAGTCAGTGGAAGTGCAGGGGAGGAGGAGTAGGAATTCAAAAGAGAAGGTAGAGATGAAGATAGGAGGGAGACGGAAAAGAAGTAGGAGTGCAAGAAAAAGAATCAGAAATAGACAGAAATGAGCAGTTCCTACAGGAGGACAGGAATATCACATTGTTGAAAAGAGGTCTCAAAAGACGACAGGCTATAAAGATGATTCCTTTCTTGACATCCTGAGTCAACTGAAATATGGTATCCACGGTGTGTCACCTTGCTTTTTGCCCTTGAAAGAAGTCACAAAAATGCACAGCTCTGACATGTTCCAAGCAACCAAAGGGCCACTGCACATCTAGACTGCACATTGTGAGCTCCTACTATGTCGAGAGTAAGCAAAACTACAAATTTGGGCCCCACGGTATGTCTGATACAGACCTAGCTAGGTGACTATGTTGATTAGGTATTTCTATAGTAAGACAAATAGCTTATATAACAGCCTCACCTACATTCTGGGCTCATAAAAAAAAAAATCACAAGGAAAATATTGACTTAGGTCTGAAAAACAGATGGTCTGAAAAAGCCTGCAACCTCCATGCTAGGAAGAAAATTAGGAAACAGCAGAACAAGCCTCTCCACTCAAGTAATTTACGGTTCTTTGATGTATAAGATTCATATATACATATATACACACACACACACATATATTTTATATGTAAGAATACATAACTCTAAATATCAATATTATGTATAAAAACCTAGAGAGATATAACCTATATATACTTATGTATACAATATATATCTATAAATTTTTCCACACAAAAATTAAAGGCTTTATTTACTTGAGAGGATATCACAAATGAGCAGTCACTGGGAATTGTACAGGATAGAAAGGGTGAGGAATGTGAGTAAGTCTGGTTCTCATCTTAACCCAATCTTGTGGGTGGGATTTATTTCAGTTTACCTGCGCCTGACTGGAGGCGCCAAACCCAACATAATGGTATTCTGGTAAGAAAGGCTCACACTTTGGGGGTTTTTGCCTAGTCAAGGGATGTGGGTGGCAAAGGCAAAAAAGAAACAAGGGAACAAAGGCGAAGGAGAGAGGGAACCAGAGCACTTGCTGTAATGGGCATTTGAAATCTTTTTGCACCTTCATCACGGACGGGCCTGAGATATTCTCAGGTCTCCGTTGCTATTGGCAACCACTCACATTACTGTTCCCCAATGGTTATTCCAACGGTCTCCTAAATGAATCCACTAGGTTCCACGTATAATCTGTCCTTCCTCTGCTGAGGATCACCAGCCTCACCTCAGCATGCTACTCACTCAAGGTCAGTTCCCCTACACAGAATGATGACTTGTCTTTCCATCTCCTGGGGCATTGGCATGAGTTGTTTGAAATGTAATAATGTCGGCTGTAATTGCACTGTCATAGTGGTCATGCTGCGCTCTTGTGGGCGGAGACCTACAAACACACAGAACACACAGTTGCAGGGAAAGGAAACAGAAAAACCTCCAGAGGATCATGAAGAGTGCAAGTGTGCAGAGCCACCCAGTTGTCGCTCTTGTATGTTCTTCCTGTTGGAAGACGCCAAGTAGAGACTGCAAATAGGAGACTTGGATTTCACATACATACGCATCCTGCAGGATGACACTTAATTTGTTAGAGTATTATCCTGAGCATGCACTCTGGCTGTGCCTTCAGCGGGCCATTCCTACCAGTCACTGAGAATTGCTATTCGATAAGTGATACAAACAACACACCCTACTGCTATGGATCCATTCCCATATTTCAGTCACCAGAGAGTTTGTCTTTTGTCCCCATGCTTAGTGGTGTGTGGTTCCATGGCCCTTGCAGAAGGCCTATGGGCAAGACAGGTTACCATTAGGTAAACATCCTTCTCTGCCATATGTTCCCCTGTTGTGATATTCCACCTCGGCACAGGGCCCATAGCAATGAAGCCAGTCCACCATGGACTGAAACCATGAACAAAAGTCTTTCCAAGTGGGATGGCGATTTAGCTCAGTGGTGCCACACCTGCTTCTCAGGCACAAGGTCCTGATTTCAACCCCAGTACCAAAAAGATAACAACAACAACAACAACAAACCAAAAATCTTTCCAAGAGTGCCATTATGGCAACTTAGCAGCCAGAGGACACACAGGGGATTTCTGGGGACACTTACTATGGCCAACAGGTGCACAGCTGCAGCAGGTGAATGACAGCCTCCCAATGGGAAGGCAACTTGAAAGGAGACACAAAGATTACATCCAGACAGGCATGTAAATATAAAGGACAGGGCCATCACTAGATTCTGGCAGTGCCTACAGACCAGGTTAGAGAACATGGTATGCTGGGCAATGTACAAATCCCTCTAAGGAAGAAAGCTAACAGCTGCCAATCAACATCCAGCCTTCCTGCCACCACCCAGTGTCCACTGGGCCTACTTATCCCATTGAGACATATGATCAATGACTGATGGATCTGCTAAGTAGCCCTCCATGGACCAGGCAGCCAAGGAAAGTGCAACTAGGGAGTCACTAGAGGCAGTGGCAGAGATGGGATCAGTGGGGCTCAGTACAGACAGAGGAGGTAAGCATGGTCCTGGCTAGAGACATGGAACCAGCTCCTGTGGGATCTGTGAGACAGTGATAAATACAAGCGTTGGAAGCAACTCTGACCTGTGAGAAGCACGGGTGGAGAAAAAATTCCAGAGTGATGCCGGTGGGGATTTTCTTCTGCTGATTCACAATACCACAGAAGTCACAGAACAGAGAAAGTCATCAAGAAGCTGAACAGCTAGAAAGCCTGTGTGTGAAAGATGGTGGAACAAACATTCTGGATCAGTCCCTACAGAAGCTCTTTTCTGATGGTCCAAAGAAGCCTCTGAAACCATGGAGCAGATAGACACTCACAAAATAGGAATATCGGAGTTACCTGTATATGTGTGGGGAGGGGGGCATCGAATTGATGCATGGGACATGGAGGTACTGCCTCCTGCCTGGCCCTTTGATACCGCTGATATTGTGGACCAGAGAGAGAGGTTTGGCAGAACATAAGCATATCTATACACTGAAGTTTCCAGGTTACTACAGATGTAAACATGGGGAAACAAACAGCTGAGCCCACATTAGGGGTGTGATCAGGAACCGGAGGCTGAAATATGGAAGGAGAGGCATGAGTACCCTGCCAGCACCCTGAGAATACCAGAGGCTCCAAAGCATGTCTGCCTAAAGATAAGGGCACAGAGAAGACCATTTAAAATATTCACCCTAATCAAAGAACAAGGAGAATTGTCCTCAAGCTATTTTGGGGGGGGTAGTTTGGTTTTGTTAATGTATGTGTGTATGAACATAGCCACATGTATACATTCCCTGCTGTTGATTTTATAATGTCCCACGGGTTTAATTATATATGTCTTCTTCTGTAATGGTTTCCTCATGATATCTAATGTTGCTTGGCTACCAATTCAACAAATGGATACAATATATGTATCTGACCTCTCCCTTCCATTTCTAATCTCTTCCTTTTTCTCTTTTTATTTTTCCCACATAATTTTGCCGCTTCTCAACTCTTACCCCCAAAACATTTTCTTTCTCCTTTTTACCTTTTCCTTTGATCGTCTCCTCACTTTGATACATAAATATTCCAATCAACCTACATTTCCAGGTATGATTTTTTTCCACCCACCATATTTGGCTTGATTACTCTCCTTTTCTTTTCCCCAGATAACAGAAGAGTATTAGCCTCTCAAAGAAGTTCCTAGTAAGCTGATAACATAGAGGATTGGCTTCTCAAGAGTCACTTTAGTGGCAGTTATTATCTCCTCTCCAAACCTGGTTAGGGGTTTAAACCTAGCACTTAGAGCGACTAAGGGAAAACTCTCAGACAGTCACAAACCCACAAACACAAGCACATCCCACTTAAAACATCCCCATGAGACTGTGGAAAATACAATGTATACATAGAAACACAATTATAATGAAAAAACACAGAAGTGCATTCCTAGAAAAACTGTTCACCTGCAAAAACTAATCCTGCAGACAGTGAAGGGAATGAAATTTCAAAGAATTCAAGAAGTTAAAATGTAAAATGATACGAGATTAAAAAAACACACACAAGGAAGTGGGTGAAGAATTTAATTACTAAAATGACCAACATACTTAAAAGAAGGTAAATAAATGAAGGAAAATAAGGATCCAAATGTATCATAGATACTGTGCAATAGGGAGGAAAGGTGCAAAGGGGAAGGGGAAGTCCAAGGGGTAGGGGAAATGCAAGGGGAATGGAAGTAATATGAGAAAATGGAAAAACAGAAACAAAGTCTTTGTAAATAGGGAGGGGTGGAGGGGTTGAAGGGAGGGCAGAGGAAGGGGGAAAAATAAGAACCAATATACATCATGTAAAGGTACTAGTTCCCAATGGTGAGTATAACTGCATAGCATACCCAAAATGTACCGATAAACTTAATGGAAGAAAAAATAAATTAAGGAAGATAACACAGAGTATGAACAAAAAACTTCAGGGCAGAAGAGTTAGAGATGAGGAAAAAGAATTGAGCATAAATTCTGCAAAAGAGAAACTCAACTGGTAGGAGTTGTGATCACTCAGAAGAAAGGATATCGGGACTTGAAGACAAGGTCAATAAATTAGAACATGCAGTCGGTAATAATGAAAAGACAAGCACAATCAAAAGAGCCTCTGGGAACTCTTAAGCAACTCTAAAAGAATATGCTAAAGAATCATCAGAATTGAGGAAGGGGTCAAACTAGAGGATAATGGTGTAAAAAGTGATTCACTTAAAATATTGCAAAAAAATTCCCTAATCAAAGGAATGAGGTGGTTATCCAGTTGGAGGGGGCACATAGAACTCCAAATAGACAAAAGGACGTCTCCACAGCACATCATAGTCAAAGTGCCAGAAATTCAGAACACAGAGAATGCACAAAGCTGTTAGAGAGAAGTGCCAATTCACCTATAAACTCAACCCCATCATAAAAATGCCAGATTTCTCAGTGCAGTTTAAAGTCCAGGAGAGCTAAAGTGAAGATTTTCCAGTTTGAAAAAGAAATAATTTCTAACTCAGACTACTATATCGTGGAAAGCTATACATTCAATTCAAAACAGAAATGCTGTAAACACCTTCCCCAATAAGGATAAAAAGCAAAACAAAAAACTCATTACCACTAAGCAGCACTTCAGAAAGTAATGCGATCCTAAAGAGAAACCTGAAAGACAACAACATCCACAAGGCCAAGGAGGAGAACATATCTCACTGAGTGCATAGATAAACAAACAGAAACAGAAAGGAACCAAGCACTGCAAAAATAATATATTGATAGGAATCAGTACATATCTTTCAGTAACATTCATGTAAGTAGTCTCAATTCATCGCTCAAAATATAGTAGACTGGTAGAATAAAAATGCAATACAACTAAAAATTAACTGCAGAAAAAGCCCACAGAAATTACACAAACACATGGAGATTGTGCAATACACATGTGAACAATTGATGGTCACAGAAGAAAGAGGGGAAGCAACAAGAAAAATCCTAGAATCAGATGACAATGGAAATATAAAATATCAGAATCTCTGGAACACAATGAGAATAGTCCTAAGAGGCAAGTTTATATCTGCAAGTGCCTACATTGGAACAATAAAACTATCCCACATAATTAACCTAACCATGCATCTAAGATCCCAGAAAACCAAGAATGACTCCAATCCAAAACCAGTAGAAGTAAAGAAATTACAAATATCGGAGCAGATATTAATAAAATCAGGACTACAAAAAATGCAAAGAATTGATGAATGGAAGAATTGGTTCTTTGAAAGAATAAATAAGAATCATTACAAGTCATTAGCCAAACTTAGCAAAAAACAAGAGGAGAGACCCACATCAGTAACTTAGAAATCAAAAAGGTGATAAGAGTCACCACTGAAATTCAATGAATTATTTTAAATCCTTTGGTAAGCTTATTACAATAAATTGGAGATTCTAGTAGAAATAGATGAATTCCTAGACCGTGATTTATAAAAATTGAAGAGAGAAAATGTAATACCGGGAAGGTATCCGTGCGGGCGCACCTGAACCCCCATAACTCGCCTACGTCATCCCCCCGTGTGCACTATCAGACCTCTTGACTGTGCCAGTCTTTGGACCCACTCTGCAGAGGCAGAGGTGGTCATCAAGGGTATTTTTCTGAGTTCCCAACTTTGAACATCTTTAAAGAAAGGGCATGGGAAACTTGTAACAGAATGGTGTGGAGTTCAACCATTCAGATGGTTGGAGAACTCAATCTGGGCCTTGCAGCCTGAGGTCAGTTAGCATCATGGGGTTCAGCCATCACCTAACTGAGACCAGTGGTCTTGCATCCTCACTCTGTCTGAGCCATTAAATGGTAAATACACTATATTGAAATTTTGTTCACTGCAGACATGTTCTGGACTGCTTCGTGATTTCAATTTAATTCAAATGATTTAACGGTGATAGACTACTGACTACCACATGTGGTCAGTTTCCAAGTTGTGCTTGATCTTAATGTCTTGCTGATTGTATCAGTTGGGATAAAGCAGTGCAGTTGATTTGATGAGCTGTTTTCTCTGATGTTATGAAGATGAGAATGTCTGTGGGTCGTTAGAGACACAGAAGCTAGGGCGCAATTATATCAGGAAGATTTGGGTGATAACCCAGAGATTAAACCAAGGACAGTCCAACAACAAAAATAAAAATGAGAAAACACTTAAGCAAGACACCAGGACAGACTTCCAGTTCACCAATGACAAACAGTAGGGCAAATGAGGATGAAAAGGCCGATAGTGAACCACCAGGACACCCTGAACTCAAAGCACAGGAAGTAACAAAACAGATCAATCAGGCTCTAGAAAAATTCAAAACAGAACTAATTTCCCAGATAACCATAGAGATAGTGAGCAAAATGGAAGTCGTGATTCAAGACTCTAGAGCAGAAACTGACAAAAAAATAGATGAGCTCAGGACCATGATAGAAGCCATAAGGCCCAGCATAAGAAATAAATGGAAAAAATAAAAGCACAACATAGGAAAGAAATGGAATCCATAAAACAGATTCAAACAGATATCCAGGAGATTAAACACTCCATTGAAAGTGTACGCAACAGAATAAAAGAATGCGAAGATAGACTCTCAGATATAGAAGATAAGATTGCTGTCAGTGACCATGAAAAGAGAGGTCTCTTAAAAATAGTAGGGGATCATGAGAAATCGATCCAACAGCTCCTAGATGATGCAAAGAAGAATAACTTAAGACTGATAGGAATACATGAAGTTGCAGGAGAAAATACAAATGACTTTAAAAAGCCATTCACAGAATTAATGACAGAAACCTTCCCAAACAGAGGGGAAGAATTTGACATTCAGATAACTGAGGCATATAGGACCCCAACTAGCTACAATTAAAAAAGAAAAATCTATACCTAGACATATAATAATCAAGATCCCAGAAACCCAACAAAAGAACAAAATACTACAAGCAGTAGGAGAAAAGAAACAAATCACATATAAAGGAAAGCCCATCAGAATCAAAGCAGACTTTTCAACACAAACCATTGGGGCAAGGAGAGCCTGGAATGACATATTTCAAGTACTAAAAGAGAACAACCTCCAACCTAGACTGATGTGTCCTGCAAAACTCTCTTTCAAAATGGATGGGGAAATAAGACACTTCCACAACAAAGAACACCTGAGAAACTACATGAATACCAAACCAGCACTACAAGCAATTCTAAACAAGATCCTAGAAAAACACAATGAAGGCAACAACACCATGAGGCCCAACAGAGCAAATCAAATAGGCAAGGCAAGAAACTAAAGGGAGAAGGTGAAAAAGTAAAAAGAGTCAACAAAAGGCCAACAACATGTCAATAACAAGTCAGTACATATCAGTTATAACCATCAATGTCAATGGCCTCAACTCACCAATCAAGAGAAATAGACTGGCAAAATGGAATAAGAAGCAAAATCCAACAATATGCTGTATACAAGAAACACACCTAGTGCAAAAAGAAGCCCATAGACTGAAAGTGAAAGGATAGAAAACAATTCTCCATGTGACAGGAGCCCAGAAAAAAACAGGGGTAGCAATCTTATTTGCAGACAAAGCAAATTTCAAACCAAAACTGATTCTAGTATTATTGATATAGGACGGTCCTGTGTCATACCTCTCTGAATGTAAAATATCTTGTACCTGCTTTATGATACATAGTAGTGACCATGCTTTATCAGAGCTATGTTTAATGATATTACTCTAGAATGTTCTCTTTCCAGATGATGATTAAGATGCTAATAAAAAAAAATGGTGCCAGGTACCACAACAGCAACAGAACTTTGCTCTTTTCTGGATATTATTCTTTTCTTTGTTTTTTTGTTTTTGTTTTTTTAATGGAATGTGCTGAATGCCTATAATTTTGTTCAGATGACTGCAGAACCTGGAAAAGCTGTTGCTGCTATTGATGCATAACATACTTCTATTATTAGTCTTTTTATATAAATATAAATATACACACACATACACACACACACACTCACACACACAAATATATATATATATATATAAATTGAATTTTGGGAAACTTTAACGGTGCTGTCAACTTTGGAAAAAGTCATCCCAATTTACTGTGTTGAGTTGGCATTGTACAGAAATGGACAGCCATATTGGTCTAGAAATGTTAGTTTTTTTATTTTATTTTTTTCCATGTGTACAGGAGTAGTGCATTGTCCTAAATATGTAAGGTCATATC